ATATAAAATACAAAATACTTTTTAAAGGCACTATTAATGTAGCCAGATGTCAGAAAATGCAGGGTTCTGTCCAAAGTGTGGTTTGTTTGGATTGAGAACATTATGTGAACTGACTGCAGGAATCAATGCCACGCGTAAAATGTAACGCTGACAGATGATAGTCAGCAATTTACACATGCTTGGAAGGCTCAGCATAAAATGAACCACGGGCAAACTGTAGTTTTGAGTGATTCTTATATAGCTCTTCAGTCAGCTAGGAGACTTTTTTTTTAATGTTAGTCATTTGAAAAAATAAAAACTATACAATACAACAATAACAAAGCAAACCATTCAACTGTGATTGTAACAGAGAGATGGTGCGGACATTTCTTTCATACACTACTTCACTGCTGCCATAATGTATCTCAGAATAGTCAGAGAAAAATGGCCAACTGACAGACGCGCTCATTATTTGACAGCAATATACACGCACATGCACAACTACTAAGTCAGCCGGCTTGACTGCAGTGTGTCACTTCAACAGCTTACTGTTCGCTGCCTTGCTCAGAAGTACTTAAGCATTGATGGCAAACGGTACTTGGAATCATTCAGCTAAACAGCAAAAACCACAGCTACAGTTATTTTTTCTCTTGCTAACAAGGACATTCTGACGCCCCATTAAATTCGGTGACTGAAATGTTTTTCTACACTCACCCTCAGGTCTTGGAGTGAAGCAGGCATCACAGGCTTTTGCTGCTGGCTGGTTGATGAGTGTGCAGAGTTGACAGGCCCAGTCCTCTTCCTCCTTCTTAGCCACATTATCATTGGTTCTCTCATTGTAGGCCCAGCCAATCAGGCTGTTTCTGACTGGTAGCGTACTGGAGAAAGGAAACAGTGACAATGTGATCCTAATGAACCTAAAACAGGCTTACTAATAAATTAAATGTGTGCAGAAATAATGCTACTGTATAAAAACTAAACACAGGTTCCCCTTCTGTTTACACACAACACATTAAGTATATCATTATGCAAACTTGACACACTTTTGTACCTTGTACCTATCCATTTATAGACTAACTACTTTAATCACCTCTCAGTATAACAAAATAAACTACAGCCTCTAAATTACCATACAGTTGAGCATGTAATAGTATGGTTAGCCAGAGTATTACCTTCATGAGGGAAGTTTTTTGTTCTACACTGCAGTCATTATAACTAGGTGTACCTAATAAACTAGCAACTGCGTGCATTTACATATATAGGGAAATGATTCTCCTCTACAGGGAAATGTGACAAAAATTACTATTTATATTAAAATGACTGTGTTTAGCTGAGAAATACTTTCAGAATAATTTACAATGTGTCCATACATATAATGAATTCCCTTGATTACTTATATTACAAGCAATTAGTCATTGCAACGGCACGTGCAAAATGATTAATACATATAAAACGTGCAACAGCTATTATTTTATTCCAATTATAGAACATAGAGGAAAAGAGAAAACTTCAGCTAGACAAACATTTGAGGTTCAAGCAGAGGATGAATGTGTTTCTTATAATGACTCTCAGCATACATGTTAGCACACTGACATGAAGCTCGACTATGTTTGACAAGAAGGCAAATCTGCAGTGCCAACATCATGGAGGAGGAAAGTAGCAGTGGCTTGCAGGAAACTTTCCTCCCAGATTGCTTTATCAGCTGTGTAATACGTTGTAAGGGCTTTAGGCTCTAACCCCTCGGAAAGCTTTGCTCAAACACAACCCAGGAGGTGTTGAGCCTGTGCCCTGTCTGGCAAACACAGCCTTATATGCGCATTAATTTCCCCCCATAACACTTCCCACTCCCTGCCAAGCCCATCTGCCTGCAAAGATGGCCTCTCTAAATTTGAACGTATTATCTAAAAGCCTTTAGAACTTTCTGCAAAGACTAGGTTTCGAAAAATGACACCTAGCTTTACTGTGTTGCTTTTTGGTATCATTATGTCTTGTCAATTTCACTTGCAGGATTTTCTTTTTATACAACGTATGAGCATTGCTGGATGGAGCCGGAGAACTAAGAATTTTATTGCCAATGACTGATTTACTGTAACAGTTGAAATAAAAATATCAATAAAAAAAAAAAATGTGTTAAGAAGAATCAGAAGCCTACATACACATCTTTTCCTATACTGCAACATTTCATTAAGCAAATAAATCAAGCATCATATAGTTAATTCTTAAAAAATGAAATGTAACATTTATCTTTATCTATAGCCAGTACAGTAGAATTGCGATGTACAGTATGCATTCCCTTTACTGAAAAATGTTGTTTTAGTCTTATATCTTACTTCATATCCAGACCAAGCATAAAATAGTCCTTGCAAGAATTCAAGACAATATCTCAAAGAGTCAAAGTGCCAAAGGTCTATGAGGATTTCTACCTGATGTCAATCCCGCTGGGATCTCCTTTCTGACAGCGCTCGCAGAAGTAAGTCATCCTGCCGTTGTCTCCTAGGCGACAGACTGTGATGACATGAAAGCACTGGCCGCACTGGGGACGCTTGTAGACTTTGTAATGTTTGTAGAGAGGAGAGCCAGATTTGCGACACTGATAGAGACAAGGAAGGCAGGCAAGAGTGAATAAAAAGACGTGGATAAAGAGAACCAGAAAAACCATTGACCTCGTCTATTATGCATGGACAGAAATATTTATTTTGTCTGTTCTCTAGGCAGCGGGGCTTTGACTTTTGCTCTCTTTCCTCAGCAACAGGGGATTTTACGTTAATCCATTATTGTAAGTCACTCTAAATGAGAGATCAGCAAAATACCTGCAAGTAAATGAAAAACATGCACATACAGATCTAGAACTGCCACCAAAACTATTTTAAATACACTTTTTTTTTTGCTATTGATTTACAAACGTGTAACCTTGTAAAACAGAAGAGTGAAATCACGCGTCATCTTCACCAAGTGGCGGATCTGCTCGCCTGTCAGCTGCTGAACCTAAGAATGAAGCAGCACAGTTAGTTACAGTTCACAGCCAGAGAGTGAATAAACCTTATTTGTATAGACAGAGAACAAGGGCGCTTCACAGTCAGCAAATCAATACTACAAGCATATAAACACCACACATGAACGAAAAACTGGATTTAAAATGATGCAATGGAGAAAAAATACATGTCTACCCAACACTTGCAGCCCAGGTGGCAAGGACTTGACTGGCTCACACAGTGTAAAGCACAAACACACACCACTTGTAGCTCTTTCAGGACACCTAGGGGCTCAGTAATGGAGGAGAGACTTATAAAGATCCACTAGTCCCAGAAGAAGAAGGGGCCAGAAGTCATAGATTAATGTTTTGGTCCAGTGTGCTATATTCTTATTCCCTATATAATACTTTCTAAGGGGAGCGGCGCAGAGCCCCTGGTAATAGTCGAGTAATAGAAGTATTCATGCTGCAAAGTGTTTCTTACTGACAGTGAATAGGTCACTCTGAAACCAAATTTTTTTTTTTTTTCCTATAGTTTGCTTAATGAAAATATTCCCTAAGAGCAATGTGAAGCACTGGATCATTCACATTTCACATAGGATTTCCAGATCAGGAATAGAAAGTATTTGAGTGATGTGTTATATAATATATAATGTGTAATAAATCAGAGGGAAACCCCTATTTGAGTTTCAATAAAGACAAAAAATTTCATTAAAATAAATGAAAAACATTCCCATTTCCAAACTGCACCGGGGGGGAGGCATATCTGTGCCGCAATGCGCTTGTTTCTCTTTTCCCTGTTTCACCCTCCTCATTGCAATGCATCACTCAATAATACAAGGGCTTAAACTTTTTTTTTTTCTGTGAGAGTTGTCTTGCATTTTTACCCTCTTTTTTGGTTCCTCTGCTGAACACAATCCATCATCTTTTTTTCCATACCTTCACGGCTGGGTGGAGGCCCGAGTCAAACAGGGCTTCGTTTTTAATGATGTTGCCGACTCCCGGCATGACGGTCTGGTCTAGGAGAACGTCACAGAGCATCCTGCTACTTTGGCTCCTCACTGCCTCCTCAGAGCGGGAGAAGCTGAACTTGGGGGAGCACACATCCAGATTCTCCATAGCCCGCACCCTTTGCTCACAGTCCTCTGTCAACCTGCAAGCACACAGTTTTATAGCGCTAAAGAAGAATTCTGAAGATTTGCGGCTGCTGCCACGAGGTCAACCGGTGCATTCTTAAGATTATACATTTCAAAAATTGTTTCTTTCATAGATTCTGTTTTCAGTTTGTTTGTTATGAGATAGGACAACATAGGTGAAATTTTCAGACACTAGAAATTAATGTCCGTCTGGTTACTGAAGAGTACACCTGGACCTTGCAGTCAATGAAAAGGACAATTGTCAAGCCGAAAAGACTGCGTTTTTCATCCAACAGCCATCGTCTTCAGACGCAGTCGAATGTAGGACATGCTCACTGAATGAGACTCATACCCCAAGGTGAACTTCTGTCACCTCAATCTATCTAGGCTATGCTGGTGTCCCCGTTACCTTATTTCCACAGTGCTGTCATAGAAGCACACAATGTCGTTAGTCAGGTGTATTTCCAGCACTGGTGTGGAGCCAGTCCTATCCTTCCTCTCTGCAGGGTTTATACGCATTGATCCATTCATACCAAAGTGGACTCTAAAGGATGTGAGCATGAAAGAAAGAAGGAAAGAAAAGACAAATTTTAAGATCCCATGTCTCAATTTATAAAGGACTTGACAGCAAAAGGACAGAGAAGTGGGCTGTTGGTTGGACACTACATTGTGTAATACAAATTCCACAGGCTGCAACTTGGGAATAGCTGTGTGTGTGTGTGTGTGTGTGTGTGTGTGTGTGTCTAGTGCTCTGAGGATACATTAAGCAACTACCAATGCCATACGACTCACCCCATGGCGATGTTGTGGTGTTCAACATAAGTTGAGTCAACACAATGCGATTCAATGCAATACAGTGGGATGTAAAAAGGGTATAATGCCACGCAATTCAAGGTTCAAATTGCTTGATTTTGTGTCTTTGGTTCTTCTTAGGCAGCTTGATGTAACAGTTTAGAAAGGAGGAACCAATCTAAATCTAAAATGATTGGTCATATAATAATGTAATAAACTGAATTTCGCATCCCTGTTACATCCACAATTGTATCCGGTGCACACGTTTGTAATCGGGGCAATCTTTTTTTTTTAATTTACTTCTATCTACATATAGAGATGGAGAATTAAAAAAAATAAAATGAAGGGTTCATTTTGTTTTTACAGAAAACAACACACATTTCTCACTATTGCAGCGTGAAAATAAAAGAAAAATTAATTTTAATTTTAATTAACAGGCATTGCACCAGATTTGGTGGGACACAATTAGGAGTTTCAGCTTTATTGCCACCACAAACATTTTTATCATACTTTATCACATACTGTCTTTGTGATTTCTACTTCATTATGATAGAAGCTGTAACAAAAAAATAGTCCCCTCCACACAATTCAGAAGACAAACTGTAGTGTAACGTTACGTGTGCGGTCGTAGAAACTGTAACTAACCTCTCACTGTCAGTATAGTAGACTGGAAACAGTGTACAGCTAACATTACCTCAAAGCTCTCGGACCAAAGTACATGAACAGCTCCTTTCCCAGAGTTTCAACGCCGGAGTACTGACAACTACACAAACTTTGGAAGGCATTTCCCTCGGAGTTGTTCTTCTGTAAACAGACGCACACAGGTTAGCATGTAGCAGCAACACCCAGCCGGTTACATTAGTCTCTCACAAAAGAATAGTTGTGTTTTTGTGCGTTAGCTGTAGCTTATCCTGCTGCGTAGAAGAAGCTGATATAACGTTATAACATACCGCCGAAGTCACCACACTGCCTCTGCTCTCTCTCAGTTTCTGTCCTTTCTGGACTTTGGAACGAATTTTCTCTCCATTTAAAGTGCAGCCCGGACCTTCAACCATCTTCTCGTTAATTCACAATTCAAAAGATTATTCTTAAAAAACTGTACATCAGCAATCCCTTTACTAACTAACAGTAGGTTTGTTGTCCTCTTGATTCCCCGCCACAGTTTGAGTTTGCGCCTGCGTGCTACGGTTTGTATCCGGAAATAGGCGTTTGATGAATGACTGAAGTCAAATGGAGGGAGCGTTAACCTGTTTATCTTTAATCACACTGGTGGATACATTATTTTGAAATTAAGGTTTTCCATTCAAACGGATTTTATTGGACATTAAGCAACTAAAAATACTGCACAACTGTATTATTTAGGGATGCATAACCTAGGCCTTTGCAGCCTATTACTTACTTCCCTTCAACCATCTGCTCATTTATTTATTCTTCACTGATCATCGAAAATTGCACTAAAAAGTAACACCATAGGCAATGAAAAAAATATCAAACGATACTACATACATTTAAATTTCAGTTAATAATCAATATTCTTTAATATTTTATAGGCTACAGCTCAAGTAACAATCTAAAATAACATGTAAACCTAATCACCAGAGACCACCTGTTACCAACTCTTTTAGATTACTTTAAACTGTGATATTTTCAAAATATCTGGCACTCTAACTCAGGCCTGTACTCCAAATAACTCCTCTAACTTGTATATGATTCATTTTAAGGTCTGCCTGCATATTTAAACTTCATAAGGGTTGGATATTGTATTTGTGATTTGTGCTTTGTTTTGAATGTCATTTATGAAATTCCCGGCAAGAAATTACAATTCTTTGAGACTCATTTTGTCGTCATTTATACTTTTATATTTTTATGGTAATAAAAAATACCAAAATGATGATTTCAAAGCTTAATTTTTGATTCAGACAAAATCAGCTCACTTGCTATTTTCACAATAATTTATCAATATGAATCGATTGTTAATTAAAGCAAAAACTGATGTGCTTTTGTTCTAATAATCTGTAGCATATTCATGGGTGTGAGTAGTTTATTTTACCCTCCACTTGAGGGCGCTAGAGTACCATTGTTGGTTCTGCAGCCCAACCAAAGACTGTCTGTGATTGATGTAACATGTATATAGTCAGTCAGACAGACAGAAAAGATAGATAGATAGATAGATTGAGAGTAGATAGATAGATAGATAGGCCTACTTTATTTTAGCATCACTGATCCACACCCACTGATCATCATGTGTAAATATATTAGTCTTTGTTGACAAAAATGCAACGCTAGCAAACTTGTTTAAACTCAAAAGCTAAACAGTAAGTAAGTACTGGACCAAATCTTGACTTTCATTTAACATCAGACGGTGAGTTCAAGTTCTTCCAACTCCATCCATTATACCATCATCCCAGGTGGAATTTAAACACCAAATGGGAGCCTTATGGCCTAATCATACAACCTTCCATACCTCTACCATGTTCATTTACGGCGTCCCATCTGGCAAAAAATCAAAATCAAAAATCAAAGGAATTATAATTTGCATCATTGTCAAAAGATTTTCTGCATGACTTGCTTGTGTAATTGCAACAACTTGTTTGCTCTGCAGTTTTACCCTTCTGTGGGCCCAGATAAAAATAGATAGACACCGTGTTCTCCAGCCAAGTGTGCAGCCATGCCCTCCTTCAAAAAAGGCAGCACTCAGCAATAATGTGTATTAAAATCTGAAGCTGCTCCCTCACATTGGCTCCAAGGGAAGTGGAGCACTTGAAGCTGGGTCTCACCCAAGGAATTATAATGTAATTCAATCCAAGTAGCTAAAAACCGGATTGTGCCCTCTTGCAGTCCTCTCTCCAGCCTCAGGACATACAGTATCCCAGGATAAAAGCAAAAATGTTCCCCTGTGTGTCTGCAGAGTTCTCTTCCCTCCACAGAAGGGCAAGCAGCATGCCACGTGAGGTTCAGATTGTTCAAATTCTGTTTAAATGTCTCACTTTTCCAGTTTACAGTACATGAAAAGTCAGATGTATGATGACAGAAAGACTTGACACAACCACTAAAAGATAAAGAAATAAAAGAACTATTAGCAGGACTGTGCATGTTAGTTAAGTTATACTGTATTAAAGCGCTGTCTTGCATTCACTTCAGCAAACAGAAAATAACAGTATTGTGTTAAATGAGCATTTGGCCTAGCTTTAACTGTTTACTCTGCGGTACTTGGATTATTTTTATGACACAAGGTTACTTTTGAAAATGACCAAAAAGATGAAAGTCAAATCATTTATACATATATCCAATGTTATTTTATAGTACTTGCAGTCTGTAAAGTTCTACATAATGCTTGCATCCAAGGATGGTTGGTTAAAAACATCTTATTTTGTAATGTTGCAATGCTTTGCTATTCTCTGTATTGAACTTAAGTTGTATGAACAGCTACGGACAGACTGATGTTTACATTGTTTCAGACTTTTTTCTTTCACTGTGTTCCACTCTATTGAGTTTAACAACTTCATGGTGACCTGGCTCAGTACATTGAACTCACCATATCTAATCTGCAGCTGTTATGTAACATTATATATGTACGGCAAGTACACTGTTTGCCATGTTTTCCGAGTGTAAACAGTGCTTGATAGCTAATTTGTACTGTGATATTTTTACCCCTCTGCTGTACGTCCTTCACTCTCCCTTTGCACTGCCACTGTGTTGCTGGTGTCCCTGCTTTGCTTTGTACAACAGTTTGAACTATGAAACTTTTTTGTTGTTGATGTGTGCCCCCACACCAACCCTCACCAAGAAAGCCCCTGTTCATTTTGTTTTGCTGCAAGATCAAGACAGTGACATCTGCTTTGAGTAAGTACAAGAAAGGGCATACTGTAGGCTCTTAAAAATCCTTAAAGGGATGTTTTTGCTCAGTGAAACCTCTTAGACCCGATGGAGCGAGCAACACAGGGCTCTGCAGTTTGTCAGCTAGAATATAAGTGCAGCTACAGAAGTATAGTATTCCAGGATCCCTCATGATCATCCAGGCGTGGCCGGCAAACTGATGAGCGCTGGGGGGGAGAGAAGTGTCAAGGTGTGTCAAGATAAATGCAGCGTTCTCTCAGGTGTGGCACATGGAACAAAGCCAAAGTGGCTCCTCAGAATGTGGATTTGGACAACTTTACCTGCTGCATGTACAAACAGGGGCGTGTATATGAGTGCATTTTTGTGTGGCTGTGCATGTGTGCTGAGTGCAGTACCTGGAATCCAGCACTCATACTTCTGCAACAACTCATTTAACTTATCTGGCCATTCAACTTAGGTTGAGTCACCATGATGATATGCATATAATATAAACTGGCCTAAATGTATATCCATAATCAGCTACCGACATGTTGTTGTTGTTTGTGATTGGATAATTATACCCTCGGTGACTATTGCATGGAGTCATTGCTGCATAAATATTGGAATTCAGCTTACCTGTTATATAAATAGCTATTATAGTCATTTCAGGAGTGCAGTGGTGAAGAAAATCTGTTTATAAAAACTCTGTCGGATTCAGCAGCTGTTGTTTGTCCGTCTCAGGAGACTTTAAATGTACATTGACAACCTATTTGCATGATTATCGCCGCAATGTATGGGTCCGTTTGATTTAAATTATTTTCGTTACAGTTGGATGAAATACATTTTACTTTATGGTTTCATTGTGGTTTGACTTAAAAAAAAAAGGTCCACAGTGTCTACAATTTTTATACAAATAAATGATCTGTTGTACATGTAAGTACCAATTTCCCTTTCATCAGCCTCCCATTTGACCGAGTGCTTATTTAAAAGATTGAAGTAATTGCACAAAATCACATCTGGCAATCATTCAGTGTGCCCAGTGCAACAACTCTGCTACTGCTGGCCACTGAGTTCTTGACGTTTGAACATGTTTGTGTCCAGAAAATATAATGTTGACATACCTGATGGGAACTCGGTGCCTTGCATCAGGATGCTCAGACAAACTGGGGGTTTTCACAGACATAGTGCCACGTCACTTTCTGACCTGTGTGTTATGTTTACATAGAGGAATATAAAGGTACACAGATGTAAGGCTATTATAAATTAAGGCCTAAGCTTGCACACAAACTCCAGTCCACTCCAGATTTCACTGAACCATTAGGAGACTCATAACTTATGAAGCAAAATGTGTTACTAACTAATTCTCCAAATAGACTCCTAATTGTCAGTTGCTGTGGAGCTCTTACTCCTTTTATGTTGTATATGTGTGTCTTACTGCACAGCTATCTGAGGACACACTTATTTTTTAGTTTGTATTCATGGCAGGTTTGTATGTGTATAGGTAGGATGTGTGAGAAGATATTAAAACACACATAGTTCATAAACTGCAGTTCTGTCCGTCTTGGTGGCGGTTTGATGAATACTTCATGAGGTCTGAAGTGGAATGAGATTTCATTCATTAAACAAGAATCAAGAACCTATTCATCTGCTGGGAAGTGAAGAATAAAGCAATGAGCTGGCTAATGACTTGCAGTATAAGTAATTTGTTTACCACTGTAAGGAATGTTGGTCAAAGATGTGATTTGATATATCTTATTCTCCTATTTGTGGCTTAAGGTATGTTCTGCTTTTGTAAGTTTACAGGGCCTTGATTTAAAGGAAGTAAATATTATTTTAAAAATACAGATTTACAGAGCATGTACAGAATCTGTGGTTGTTAATTGCTCATAATATTTATTGTATTGAAAAAGTAACACACGTGTTTCCAATCTAGCTACAGTATAAAGACGTGTGAAAACGGCACAATTGTTTCAGACTGTAGAAAAATATGCCGAGAATCTTCAAACAGAATGATGTTTATGTTTTTCTCTGGAAAAGTTTTATGTTTAAAACTGCCTGTAAAGCAAAAATGACAGTTGTTTCTTTGGTGGAGAAAAGCTTAACTGCGGATGGAGATGCGTTGCTATGCAACTGGGATTTCAAAAGTACTTGCAGCACCAGGGTCACATTTCAATGTCTGTCTCCACCAGCTTGGCAGGAACTGATGACTGCTAATAATGCTATTTTTACAGCGTCTCATTTGCAACCCTCCAAATGTGAATATTCTATAGAATCTATAATGTGGTAAGAATGTATGCTGTTTCTGCATAATATTCAGGAACTATACCTTCTGCC